TTTAGATTAGATGTTAGAAAGAATTTCTTTATTGTTAGAGTGGCGAGATAACGGGCACAGGTTGCCCAGAGAGGTTGTGGATGCCCCATCCCTGGAAGTGTTTAAGGCCAGGTTGGATGAGGCTTTGGGCAACGTGGTCTAGTGGAGGGTGTCCCTGCCCATGGCAGGGGGGGTGGAAATAGGGGATCTTTAAGGTCCCTTCCAACCCAAACTATTCCATGATTCTGTAAGTACTCATTATGTTTCAAAGAATAGTCATGATGCTGTAGAAACAAAATTCTCTTTTTGAATGTTCAGATTTAATATACCTTTGGCCTATTTTATCAACTCTAAGATTAACAAGTTCTAGAATATTTTATAGAACTTTCTCATAGTGCACATTGGCAGTTAGCTTCAGTGGTAAATTATGGTTACTCTACATAGTCACTAATGTTTCAGTCAACATTATTAGATTACTTCTTTAAAGGATTCAAGATAAATAAGTTACTGTGCATATAAATGTGTAACCTATTTTCTGGTGGTATTTTGCATATGTTTTCACCTGAAATTTTTTAAGTTCTTCAATTTAGGAGAGAATTGTTTGACTTCTTCCACAAAACAACAGGTTTACAGTGAGGTGTGTCTAAGTGTTACTCATGAAGAGGCTTAACATGTAGAATATGAGGACTTGGCTTCATGCTTAAATCTCATGACAGTTTTCATACAACTGAAGTTACTGTATGAACTTTAGGTACCTCTGGTATTCTCAAGCTGGAACTCATAACATGCAGCAGCACTTACATATCTTAAGGGGTGTTGTTTCCAATGTTTATCATCTCCTGCAATGTTTTATTTGTCAGTGCAGGACATTCCATACAGCTGTTCATTAACTTTTTATTTTTCATTTTGATTGATGGCTCAAAAATCAAGCTGAGGGGACAGTTGTAATGGAGTTCTGAAAGAAAACAGTTTGGGGATTATTTTTTGTTTTGTTTTTTTGTTTTGTGGAGATTGGGGGTTTTTTGTTTTTCTTGTAAGAGTTGGAAAGTAAACTGGGTTGTCTCTGCATTCTAGTTCTGGCATTAGATAACTGACACTTAGAGTAATTTTGAGTAGTCTATTAACCATTCACAGATTTGATATTCTGGAAAGTAAATAGTTTAGAATTGTGTAAGTACAGAATGTGGAGACCCTTTGCTTAGGAGGACAGGTTGACAGGCAAGTTGTTATTGCTCACTGCTTGAGCACAAAAAGATTGAGATGAATGCTACAAGTAATGATTAGGAGTAAGAATATCTCCATTAACGTCACCTCTGCTGTTCCTCTTGCATGTTCTAATTTGTAGCCTTCTGAAGTGTCTTGATTCTGAATTACCATTTCAGAAGTAATTAAAACCTTTTTTATAACTCTTTTCCTATCTTTTTTTCCCCTATGTGTTGATTTGGAAAAGACAGCTTTGTATGTAAAAGGCTTAAGATTATAAAATGGATTTTTTCATAAAGGCTTGCATCAAATGGAAAAAGTGGAGTATGCCATCTGGTGTTTGTACTGATTTTCTGTTTTTTCTAAATTCATTAGAAAGCAACTCTGTTCAGCAATTTTAAACTGTAAAACTCAGAAAGGTGCAGATTTTTGTAACTGGAGTGTTTAAAAAAAAAAAGTTATATTGAATACATCTAAAAATGTTTTGCTTGAAACTAATACAAGTTTCTAATACGAGAGTTTGTAATTGAGGAAATCATTCTGCAGGACACTTTCAAGTTTTTTTTATAAATTAAATAAATGTCCTTGGTTCTTCATGAAAGTTGCTTTTTCTGTGTTGTAGTAAATGAAGCTAAGATTTAATTTTAAACATCTTGTCTTAAGTTTCTGCAAGTGTAACAAAATTGTATTAAGTGGAAAAAAACAAAACAAAAATAACACCTTTCTTTGTCTTAGACTAGGTAACATAATAAAATTCCATAACACTTTGTGAAAAATACTGACAGTTGTGGAGCATGCTGTAAATATAATGTCCCAGGTAGACGTGTAGAACCTTAATAAAGCATGTTCCTTTGTATTCTAGTATAAGACATGAAAAGTAGATAACAATTTTAAGAAAATCTTGTTCCTCTCGTTATGAATTCTACACAGATGAAACAGGTGAAAGAAGCAGAGCTTAAAGCATCAGCAAATGAAAGAGAAGTACAGTTACTTCGAATATCCTTTCGACAACAGAAGGAGAAGGTAAAACAACTACATGAACTTCTTATATTAAGAGAGCAAGAGCAAAGGTATGGGGTCTTCTGTTTTCTTTCTACAAGTTAATAGATGCTAATGTTGCAAACATGTTTTGTTTAAATGCATTCTGCAAAGTGTGGGTGTGGTTTTGTTTTTTTGTTTTTCTTTTGATGGGAGAGATGGTCTTTGTAAAAATGTAGATGTCTTCCCACTCATTTTATTGCTCATTTAAGAATATCTTCATAACTTGTAGATTCCTGACTCCTAAGTCTGTGTAGACAACTGTGTTTTTCCAGCCTTTTGTTTGATAGGTTCTTGCTTATTATATGGCTGAAGTTTTTATTGTAAATACTTGATCTTTAATCCAGGAAATAATCAGATAAAAACATATCTGAATTATTATCTGAAGATCTGCATATACCACAATAACGTAGTGTTCAAAAAAAAAAAAAAAAAGCTTCTACAATATCTTGCTTTAGGGTGGGTGGGTGGCTTGCCTGGCTGTTTTCCTCTTTCTTCTCAACTTCCTTTTTTTGGAGAATGCTTGAACAGAATTTCTATACTGTTTAGCTAATACAATCGATTTTCTGTACAAACTAAAGCAACAAGTGGTGTGTGGTATACTAGTATGTGAGGGAGGTTATTAACAAAATAAGCTGGTTACACTAGCTAAATTTTACACAGAGAAATGTATTCAGATACCAAGATAACTGCAAGTTTAGATGTGAAGAATCTGATAGTAGTATTTTGAGAACTTCCAATTATTAGATCTCCAGAAGATGTAATGTGAAGGACAGCAGATATGTTCCGCGTTTGTGCTTTAAAGCAGATTGAACAGAACATTCTTAAAGTACAGGGTACTTTTGCTTCAACATTCTCCTCTAGGGATGCTTCCAGACAGGAAGGATGCTCATCCTGGAACCCTTTAGGTCCCTGTTCCTGCTGCTTTTCAGGTTTTTGGTCTGAGTGAGAAGCAACAGTTGTGGGTGAGGGTGAAGAGAATGGCTGCAAAAGAGGGTATCTGGCTGTACAGTGCTTTTCCCTGATTCCAGTGTCTCTTCCAGAGCTTTGTTAACAGCAAAGCAAACAAATGCTAATTAATGGCAAAGGAGCAGTTGAATAATTTCTACAAAAGTTTGGATTAAAAAGTAAGGTTATTCCTTTGGGTGTTTTAACAGTAGTCAACACACTTTTCCCCAGGGCCTTTGCCGTAGAAAACTGAAATCTGTCTGTGAAACTAAGGAATTTATCCCATTTATTATGTAATTTATTATCCTTTTTAAGAAATGCTAAGGAAATGAATTGAAACAGCATTGTGAGATACTATGGTTCTTGTTTCAAGTATATGTTTGGTAACTTCAGGAAAGAACTTGAAACACGAGTTGCTTTAAATGGACCTGAATTTCAAGATGCTTTGTCAAAAGAAGTGGCTAAGGAGGAGCAGAGGCACGAACAGCATGTTAAAGAACTTCGGGAGAAAATTCATATGTTAAACCAGAAGTACAAAGAGTTAGAAGATGAATTTCGTTTAGCTTTAACTATTGAAGCAAAAAGGTTTAAAGAGGTAAGACTAAGAGAACATTTCATCTGAAAGTAGGTGGAGTTGTAGTTCTCCTAAATGTGTTGGTTTTGGTGGTGTGTTTTGGTTTGGTTGGTTTGGGGTATTTTTGATCCTTAAGGCCTTTACTCCAAGGATTCATCTAAAACTACTGGTAATAAGCTTTGAAATATCAGTGATTGGAACATAGACACGAAATGCTGAGTCAGCGCTCAAAACCTAATATTTTTGTTTGTAAGTAGAAGTTAATCAAAAGAAATAAGAAAAAATTCTATCTGGCAGTATTCATTTCTTTTAAAAGATGTTGACCTTCTATTAAAATATATTCCATTATTGTAAAAACTCTCGTGGTGTTTTGATATGGTTATGGTTACATATATACTAGTGTATTAAACAATAGGGAACTTTAATAATAAACTCTTCAAAATTGAAGATATGCATTTTGAAATTCAAATTCAAAACTTGCTTACTGAATTCCTTAACTTATTTCTATGGCTAATGTTCACATTTATTTCACTTAACATAAATTTTAAATGCTTCACCTTCACTTAAAGTTGGTTTTCTTCATTTTAAATCAGTCAGATACATGGGAGAAGAGGGGAAAGAAAAGACTGTTTTTTCACCCTTCAAATCTTTCTCTTGCAGGGAAAAAAAAATAGAATTAATTCAAATTCTTCTTTCCAGACTTTAATGTTAATCTTAACAATGAGATTGAATCAAGGCACTGTTTTCATTTCCCAAGCTATGTTTTTTCTGCTCTGCTTCCCATCCACCCATGAATATTTTTTTTTCAGGTTTTTTTTGTTTGTTTGTTTTGGGGTGTTTTTTCCTACAAATTTGTAGCCAAGCAGAACCAGTTTTCTGAGTTGGAAGTATCACCAACAAACTGGTAAAAAAACAGTTTCAGGTATTCACTGATTTCACATACTGTTGATGAACTTCTGTTTCTTCCTTTATTTGAAATTCAGATGTCATTTGTGTGTGTGTATGCATACACAGTTTTTTGAAATGTTAGTATTTTTCAAGTCTTATCTTATAAAACTTTAGGTAAAAGAGAATTTTGAAAATGTTACTGCCGATCTAGTTGAACATAAACGAGCCCTCTTTGAGTTTGAACAAAAGGATAAAGAGATGGCAAGTCTGATCCAAGACCTGACAAGTATAGTGAAAGAACAGAAAGCAAAGATTGCAGAATTAACAAAATCAAATGAAAACGCTACAGCAAACCTAAAGGTACTTGTTTCAAAACACTTCAACTACATATATGATTTTTGGGGAGTAATATTTTTATCTATAAAAGTAAAAATTCCATACAAGGTAGGTTGAAAGACACGTGTTTCCTGTTGCACTAAAACCTAGTACTCCACATCAGCCTTTATTCCTGCATCTTGCACTTCTCTTTCTCACAAACACTGCTCCTCATCTAGCAAAATCTCGACCCATTTGTGCCTTCAGAAGTGCACTCCTTGCCTTGTGAGCTCTAGCAGTTTGTATATAATCAAGTGGTCAGTCTAAACTGAAATTTCAAAACCTATGTTAACATCCCTGACCCTTTGTAAATTTAAAGTAATGGAATATGGTTCTGCAGTGGTCACCGTACGTGAAATAAAAATGAAATTGAACAAATAATCAAGTGTAGTTATTAGTAGCTTAATATCTCTGAGAGCTGTATAGAATTAGCAGTATTAGTCATTATTTACTAATTGTCTAATTTTAATGTTAAATGCTGTGGGCACAGTTGCTTTATCTTACACTATTGATCACCGTATAGTAACGCTATATAGTACTACATTGTCTGTAAATAATTCTTAAAAATCTAGGAACATAACCCAACATGACTCAGCCATCTTTGTTAGAACTCCTGTGCAGTACAACCCCTGCACAGCTGTTTCTAATCCCCTTCCTACATGTTGCTGTTGGGTGTCCAGACATTGTGTTGCTCTACAGAATAGGATTCTGCCAGTCAGTGATGCTGCTAAAAACAGAATTTTAAAATAGCTATATGAAACAGCTGTAATCTGTAAAACAAAAAGTGGCCTGCATAACTGAAAATAAATCTTTATCATGGGAAGTGGAAGTTCATCCTAGCTTCTGTCTTTTTTTTCCTCTTTATTTGGATTTTAGTATCTTAACTTGACTTTGTTTCTCTTTTTACTTATGCATTTATAAGTCTAAACAGGGTTTTTATAATGGCTTGGTAATTTGAGGTGGCTATTTAGAAATCAGCTTTACAGTTTTCTGGGATTGAATTATGTCTATTTGAAGCAAACATTTGTGTTTCATTACTGGGAGGAGATGCAGCTAGAACCCTGTATGCAAGCAGAATATTCCTCAGTTAATTTGCTGTATATAAGTATTACTTTCCTAGCAGCCTAAATCCTAGGATTTATTTGAAATTTTGAATACTGATTTTAAGAATCTTACTGTCTTTTTCCAATGTTCATTCATAGTGTCGAACTGGAGAACTTGAAACTGTGATTGAGGAGGATAAACAGAAGGCTATTCAAGTTGAACTTCTGAAAAAGGAAAATGGAAAACTTATTTCTCAGCTGACAGCCCAGGAATCTGTGATTGATGGGTTAAAAATGGAAAGAAAAATATGGGGGCAGGAGTTGGCACAACAGGGTAAAGTAATGCTATATTTTTTTTCCTTTTACAGAAAAAATGGTGATGTTCAATGTTATACTTTTCAAATAAATACTCCAATATAATGTAATCATGACAAGGTCCTCTGGATGCCTTGTTGATCTTACCCAGTTGTGAAGATGGTGTGCAAAAATAGATCTTCTGTAGTACACAGGCAATTATAGGAACTATAACAGCAGTTCTGGGAGTTAGTAGTGAATACAGTTTATCTATTTCACCCAAATGTTAAAATACCATTATGTTATACAAAGAACTCTTAAATATGAAACTAGGAAAACAAGGATTTGTAAATAGTGTTACATAATGCTACTTGTCTATCAGATAAGTCTAATGTGAAAATTTCAGTATGTATCTTAAAAAAAAAAAGTTAACTACTGGGTGAAAAAGAGCTTGGGCTTTTTTCCTTTTTCCCTGATTGATGTGATTCAGCACCACCTTGTGGGGTCTTTGAGATTGCCTGGGTCTGTAAGAATTACTGTTGATTTTTATCAGAGAAGTTTTCAAAGGATAAAATACAGACCTTCAGTTCTATATTTGCTCTTAAGTGTTACCTACCTACAGATTAAAGTGTTACAGTGTTTCCAGTGGGAATGGAATGGTCATGTGTGGTTTTTAAGGTGGTTCTTACCTTCGTCTCCCTCTGTCCCCCAACATTATACATCTTGAAGTCATCTGTAAAATGAGTGCTGCCATGTGAATAATTTGTTTTATCTAGGAGCTCATCTTGCTCAAGATCGGGGGAAACTGGAGGCAAAAATTGAAGTTTTAACAAATGAGATTGAGGTGTTAAAAAAGCAAAAGGAACAGGACAGTGATACTATAAGAATTAAAAACAAAATAGTGGACGATCAGACAGAAACAATTAGGAGATTAAAAGAAGTAAGTGCCATGTCTGACAATATGCATGCTTAGCTAAAAGTAAGACTCGCAGTGAAAGTTACTGTAAAGGCTGAAGTGAAAGCGGGCTCTGCACTCCTAGTTTACCAACTCAGCACAATCAGGCTGTCAGTGGCAATTGATCTCACTGAGAGCAGAAGAGGGCCTTGTATTAACTTGACATACAGAGATGCTACTTTAAATCCCTCATTGAACCATATATATGTAAAGATTTTTCTTCTCTT